TAAATTCAATTCCCTGCGAATTAATACAGCCTCCTCATCTACAGGATCCTCTATAAATGGACACGCCATTTTGGTCTCTGCGTGACGGAAACATGTGCAATCTATGAATGTACTGAAAGATTAAATGAGGTAGGCCTATTTAAACACCTTTCACTTTAAAAAGGGGTGGAGACCGGAGAAAACTCTGGGTTTCCCAAACAAAACCTGCTCCCAAGCAGGTTAGGTTCACAGAGTAAGTTGCCATAGTAACTGACTCTGAGTTTAGATTACCTCTCTTTTGAAACGGGTTTAACTTATCCCGCTTTCACGGGTTTAAGTTACCTCCGTTTCTGGAACCGAAAACTCCGAGTTATCCTCATTTCGGGGTTAACAAACTCAGAGTTTCAACAAAACCTCCTTCTTGAAACGGGCCCCTGATGTCTCTGGTCAGAAACACCAGGTAAGAATATGTGTTGTATGACTCTTTTTAAAAAAATTATATCTTAACATAATTGCTGCTAAGCTAATTTGTCTGTATTCTATTTTCAGAATGCCTTCTGCCACATAAAACGTGCAGAATCACTAGGGCCCAGGTCATGACCAGGAGATAAAGGATATTTTGCTAGGTATGGTGTGGGAGGATGAGGAGAAGGAACGCTGTCATCTAGAAAGGCAACAGGCCTATGAAGAGCAGCTGAGGAGAGAGGCACAGGAAGTGGAGAGAGGACATGGGATGCAGACCGGCAGGAGCGAGCTGGGCAAATGAATGTTCACCGCATCGTTTCAAGACATTCAGCATGAGATGCAGCCATACCTCACTCATTTCCCATGTGTCTACTCCACCACAGAGCTCATCTCGGTGCCACTGATTCCCAATAAACCAGTGCTTCCCACCTGGACAATATTTTTCACCACCACCACTACCCCATATAAGCCAGATGCAGGGCAACGAACGATACAAATCTTTCAACCCACCCTCTTCTTCCTCCTTCCTCCAGCTTGACTCTCGTTGTAGCCTTGCTCATATTTGTGGGGTTATGTATAAAAAAATGTTAATGTTGTAAGTTTTTCAAATTTCTTCTATTTTTTATTGTAATTTTAAAATGTCACTTTTATAATCACTTTATCAACTCAAACAACTTTGTTTATTTACATTGTGCTGTTTATACAAAGTAAAGGCTTTATTTCAAATGTAGAGTTTATTTCAATTTGCCTATTTTTGGTAAGTTATATTTACATATCACTTTAATCTAAATAAAGCACCTTCACTTGAGCATCTCTCCTTTATTTCTTTTCACAATTGTGCAATAGACAAGGCAAATAATACAGCACAACAGGACATAAAATAGACATTATTGCATCACAATGGCTGGGTGACCTTATGCCTGTGCGCCCTGAAAAGCAATTCTGTCAGGTTCAGAGAAAAGTCAGGTTACTCTCGTTGCTCAATGCTCCATTCTGGTAAGAAATGGTCTTTCTTAATTGCACAGATATTGTGTTGAACACAACAGACAACAACAATTTCAGACACAAAAACCGTATATATATATATCATTTCTTCTAGGCAGACACGTCCAACGACCTTTCAGATGGTCAAAAGCATCCTCCACCACCATCCTTGCTGAGCTTAACCGGTTACATAAGTTTTGCGGTTGTGTAGTAAGAGCATGGTGGTGTGTGAATCCCTTCATCAGCCACTCTCTGAGAGGGTCCGCAAGGTCTCCAGCAATGTGCACAAGGATCTCACCACACCTAACAGTCGCTGATTTCTTTGGATAGAGTGATGTAGATGTATTTCATACAGCGATCACAGCCTTTTTTTGTCTGTTAAGATACTGTTTGTAACAAATTGCACAAATATTGTAATGATAAACATAGTGTATAAAAATGTACCACACAATTTACACAGTCATACTCAGCAAATTCAATTTTCTTAATAGGACTAGATGTTAATATCCCTTAGGATTAAGCACAGTGCTTGCTATTTCTCTAATTCATAGTCACTGTTATAAACTTATCTCATGAGGAAAGAGGTACCCACCTTGATCTTCAACTTTCTAGTAGATGGGCAAGTTGGCTAACACATAAGCATCATGTGTGTGACCAGGCCAGCCCACATAGATATCTGTGAAGGTGTAAGAAAAAGGTGGACGAGGCTATAGATCGACATAAGAAACACAGTAACTGTTAAAATACATAACTAATGCGGGATGAAGTCCTTCCCAGCAGCTGGGGTCAACAACAGCTTAAAGAATAACAGAGTGCCATCCTTTCCTATTAGGTTGTGTGTCATTATGTGGGGTGATGATAGGAATGTGTGTGCCATCAACGGCACCAGCACAGCATGGATACCTCTGCTGAGTAAATCCATCAGTTGTCTCCTGGAGATAGTCCCCACTCAGCAGTCCAACAAAAAGTGCCCTCTTGTCACCTGGCATACTAATGCACACACGGTGGAGACACGGGCACCAAAAACAGCAGATGGACCTGTATTCACATGAAGTAGCTGTTATAGTTTAGTCCCCCTCACCAGGAGGGTGAGGGAGAACTGAGGTAGGACTAAAGAATGCAGACCCATGTGCTAGTAAAAAAAGGTGGTTTAATGGCAAAAAAACACAAACAAGGTAACAGAGTCAACGTATAGTACAATAACTGGGGTAGGACAGGGAGGGCTGAGGAGTCTAGGATGAGCAGATGAGTAGGAGGATTGCAGGAAACAGGAGAGTAGAGGACCAGGACAATTAGGCAGGCGAGAAGACAGGAGAACGGCGACGGGTGAGATGACAGGAGGGACACAGGAATGAGAAGACTGGGCTAGTGTAGCCTTCGCTGTAGCACTAGCTGTCCGGTACCTACGGCTGGGAAAATCACCGTCAGATACACATGGCCAGGAAAGTATGCCAGAGGTAATCACGGCATTGCCGTCAGATACACATGGCTGGGGTAAGATCGCCAACGTGAGTGGCCCTATCTAACACAAAATAAGAAAAACTAAAACCTCGCCGTTCACTTAACTGTCACCTACTCCCTCAACATGTCCGTGTCTAACATAGTGTAATGCTCCGGCGACGACAGCGCATATGCCAGAGATTTAAATAAGGAGGAAGGTATCACAGTAATGCGCCCCAGCTGTGCGCGACAACCCACAAGTCACTAATTACAGAAAGCGACACAGCTGGGGCGCTGATCCCGCAGAAAGAGCGAGCAGGAGAGAGAAAGGCAGAAGAGAGGCAGGTTGCACCGAGTGGACCTGACAGTAGCACACCACCACAAAGCTACAGCAAGTCTAAGTTGAGGGTCCTGAGGCTGTGGTCTTGTGCCTCAGATGTGGGTCAAAATTCAAATTCAAATGTGGTCCACGACACACGAAAGTGACTCAGCCACTCTTCTTCATCGAAGTTGTTAAGTACATTGAACACTGAGCCTGCTCCACATTTTTCTCTCCGACAGCAGTGCAGCTTGGCTGAGAAGAAGCACACATGTCCATCTTCAAGTCTCAAGGCTTCTCTCTAACTTAAAGTACAGGTCAGAGCATTCCCGATGTCACAAATGTGTTTACAGTTATTCCTCATGACATTCACACACATAGCGGGAAAAACGATAACCAGTTTTTCGTGAAGTGAAATAAATGCTTGTAGAGCTTGTAGAACAAAGTTACACCCACACCCATCTCTCCCACCACTGTTGTTTTGGCTTGTAGTCCACCAGCGCGAAATTCACATCACAGTTGACACAAAGCGATGTTGCATCACGCCTCTAGTGCGATTACACTGCTCTTAGCTCGATCTGTATGTACAGCACGAGGGTGGCATATTGGCGATGCTTTTGAAAGGCAGTAGTGCGAGATCCCAGTGTATAAATGACTAAAGGTGACACAGCAGTCGGCCTTCATCACTGCTAGTTCTTTCACGTCGGCCTGGTGTGTCTCTGCCCTTAGAAGTTAATGTCTCCGGACTGACGCCAGTGCTGTTCAGTGAGTCAGGGCCACAGGAGGCTTCGACAGCACCTCTCCACATTAAGACAAGTTTTGGAGCAGATTTCTACATCAAAAATATTTGGAAAAGTTACATATTGTATCTTTAAGTAAAAGTAGCAATACTCTGGTACAAGTCCTGTATATAAATGTTACTTAGGTGAAATTACAAAAGCATTAGCATCAAAATATACTTAAAGTACAAAAAAGTATTCATTATGCAGAACAGCACAATACAAATGAATGTATCATATTACTGGATTATAATTATTAATACATTATTGTGTACATCACATTTGATGTTGAAGCTGGCAAAGGTGGAGCTAATGTTAACTATAATGTGCTTATAAGTGGAAAGAGTTTACACTAGGAATCTTACCTTAAGTCTTATGATTACAATGTATGTTTTATTATTAATCAGATTATAAAAAAGTAACACATGACCAAAGTTATCAAATAAATGTAGTGCAGTAAAAAGTACAATATTTGACTCTGATAATGTAGTGAAGAAAATGAAAATACTCAAAGTACAGATATCTCAAGACTGTACATAAGTGCAACACTTATAAATGTAAATGTACTTAGTTACCTTCCACCACTACACATCACTCCCCATATCTATGGATAAAATTACTACTTGATTTGTTGACTGACATAATAGCAAAAGGAACAATAATTTAGATTTTTGATTAAATCTTATGCTTCACTCATTGATTCCAACTGCATGTAAACTTTAAATGTGAGAACATACTGCTCTCTGTTAACAGTAAACTTCATCTTTTAGGGTTTTGTTCTGTTGATCAGGTAAAAAATATTTGAAGAACTCTGGGAGATTGTGATAGTAAATGGTGCTCTGGTGCTCTCTGAGCTCTGGTATCTGAAAGTCACTATGTTTCAAATATTCCAGTAGAAGTGACCTACACAGTTAACTTTGTGATGTTCCCCACCCTGAATTTAAAACCTTTTTGTCAGAGGCGGTTCTCTCTCACTAGTGGAATGCACATGGCTTCCCTGGTTTCCCCTGGCAACTGCCTCTGCTCAGACAGCCAGTGTTTGACTCCGGCCTCAGTGGGTGGGGCTGCATCAATCCCCCTACCCCCTGACCCTGCCCCCAGAGAGAAATAATGCTCGGAAGCATGCAAAATCAATCAGCTGCAGCCCCGAAAAGCCAATATGTTGCTAATAAACACACAGGCAGAGTGAACGCTGAGCTGGTGGTCAGACAAAAGGAGCCAGAGCTCGGCGGTCCTTTACCTGCATTACACACTCTGTCAGGGCATTACCATGTGAAGAGAGCACAGGGCTGATAGATGAATCATGGCAATACTGTAAGAGCTCCTAACCTCCGAGAGGCCACGGCTGAACCACTATCATCACCTGCTGTTCACAGGCCCATACATTTACTGACCCACCAGGCCTTCTTGCTCAACAACTGGCTGCCTTAATGTGTGTGGATATGTGGTGAAGGGGAAAATCTCTCCTTAAACACACTTCACACATGGCTGCAGTCCAGCACCCAGGCAGCGTTCAAACAAAATTGTGTTGTTTTCCACCGCTGCTATTCATACATTTTTAATCACTATAGAAATTGCATGTGAAGGCAGTATTTTTAATTTAAAGAACCTTACAATGCATACTGGCATTGAATCTGATCATTATCACACAAGATGATAATGCTGTAATATTCATTATATTCTATCTGTGTTCTATCCTGTTGTATCACATCACATCATACTGCTTTTCATGGCGCAGTGCTGTGTGTTGCATCATGTTGTGGTGCATCAGCATAAATTAACAGAATAACACAATCATTGTTTTGCACACAGATATAAATCTGTTATAGCAATGTGATATAAATCTGCTTTACAGTGGATTTTACATTTAATGCAGATACACAGAGTGAACTCGGGCAGTTCCAAGCTTATGGGCAGAGTACACACTGTAGTGATGTGGTTTAAGGAAAACCTCATCTTTACCCTTCTGTTATTCCTACAGTGTTGGACAAAAATCGATATTTGTAGCGCAGATCTGCAACAACTGCTGATTGTCTTGGTGCACTCTCACAGCTAAATGAGATTTACTTCATTACACTGCTTTATTTAATAGCAGAAGCACCAGTATGGAACCACAGAATAGCCCCTGGAGAAATCAGACTGGCCACTGGCCCTGGGTCACATCGTATGTTTTCATTCCACCTCTAATAGAAATGTTTTTAAGTCACACTAGAAGCTGGCCAATTAGCCTGAAGGGGAATAATATCTCTAATGTACTGGCTCTATATTTTACAGAGATTTCTTGGCCTCTGGAGCCTTTTCATCTACAAAGACAGCAGATATTTATTTCAAAGGGCCCTGAACACCTGAGCGATGTTCTTCACCATGAATGCGGCAGAATGGAAAGTCCTCAGTTTAAACACAGCCTGCTCCTTTCCACTGTGTGCAGTCTGAGCAAATAACCAATGACAAGCAAGTGTTCACATCCACTCATTATCGACTGGTAATGCTGTGTTTGTTAAGGCTCAGATCAGTCCCTAAATTGACCTACACACTACACACTTACAATAGACAAGCAGACTGACAGATTAGCTGAGCAGTTTAGAGGAACACACAGCAGCCATGTTGAGGCTGATCCACCCAGCCAACCTCTCCTCACTGATAAACACGTATCAATGAAGAACAAGCAACAAAGAGTCACTGGAAACAGCAAAGACACACACACACACACACACCACTACTGTAAGACTCTACTCTACTACCAATCTTGTGTGACTGCCAGCCCTTTTCCAAAGCATGCCACACTGTGCCAGAGTTCTGATTTATGCATTTTCCAGGTAAATGGTGATTTCCATTCATAGTGGAAAGACAGACACTTGATTCACTTATGTAATCAAGTACATGTCTGTAGGGCTACTGTAGGTATCAAGAGTATTTAATGTGTCTGTAGCACAGTCAATGGATACTTGTGTTTGTGTTCAGATACTTCATCTTTTTTGTACTTTTGGATCAGATGGATTAGTGCTGTCGCCTCACAGCAAAATGGTTCTGGGTTCAAGACCCAGTATAGATAATGGACGGATATTCTTGGATCAGATAGTTCCTACTGCCGCCCTAACTAAAGTTTGCATCAATCTCTGGTTTCAAGATTTACAGTCTCATTGTGATAATGTATAATTTTCAGTTTGAGCCCATTTGAGCTGACTGTAGAAACAGATAAATATATTTATAGAGCACTCAGAACTGCAGCCATGATAACTTACAGAATTATCCTTTGCAACTTCTACAGCTGCATCATTGAGAGCATCTTGACCAGCTGCATCACTGTTTGGTATGGATGGCAGCACTACTGCTATGGACCGCAAGCGCCTGCAGAGAGTGGTAAAGACTGTTGAGAAGATCACCAGGACTCCACTGCCCTCT